TGACCAATAAAATCAAATGTGATATCAGATTTCCATAGTAAATGGTTTCCTGAATAAAGTGAAACTTTACAACTTATTTCTATTAATAACACATTTTTGCGATTTGGGGATACCAAAAATTGGCCTGTATATAACACATGGTCTGAAAAACCAGCATTTAAAGTAGTTAAGGTAGTATCACAATTATCATATGAAAGATAAGATGTAAACAAATTATTAACTTTACTTAAGGTTAGTCTCCACCAAAATACTACTGAATATTGAATTATATAATTTTGAGATATAATTTTGCATACATCAGATTTTGCTGCAATCATTGTAGTACTATATGTATTGATTAAGTACTTAACAGCTTCTTTGATTCTCATGCCAATAATTGTATTTTCAGTTTGACCAGTTGAACAATATGGTGGCTCTCCATCCACACGCTCAATTCTTACAGCAAATACACCCCTACCAATATTTAAAACAGTTAAATTCTTAAAATTTCTTGAATATGAATGATAATTTTTAATGTGAGTTAAAAGATCTAAAAATCCATTATTAATTATAAGGTTAATTTCATTTTCAGTAAGTGTGTTATTATTACCCCATTCTACAGTTGCTCTTCCATAAACTATATTTTTAATTAAAAATAGAAAATTTAAAAATAAAAACAATAATATTTTCATAGGTTTATACTCTAATATATGAGAAATTTATGTCTTTTGTTAAAAAATATTTATATAAAAATATTATAACTATATATATATAAAAGAAAAAGGAAAAGGAAAAAGTGAGCTCCTAAAGTAGGCATGGATATTCCCTATTTCAATGACCAAAAGTCTAATATAGTTTCATAGAATATACTGCTTAGTTTAAATCTATTTAGCCTAATTGTAATCATGAGCTAAATCCAAGTAGGGTTAAGGAGCTTAGTCATTGGATTAAGAATATATGCTAGAATATGCTTTTTCAATTCAATAGTCGTGTTTTCACACTCTGAAACAATATAGATACCTTTGGTCACAATCATTTGAAAATAAAAAATCTCTTGCCTTTATCATTCAAGTTTTGTAGCAGCTGGAGCCATAAGAGCAGCAGGAATGTTGAATGTATGCAGAGGAGTCTTGCTGGTAACCATCTTTTTTCTGGAAGGAAGAGACGAATTTGTATAGAATAATAGGGATGCCTTCCTCAGCAGCATATATCCCATTTGGATCCATTACAAACAAGAATGTAGGAGAATAAGTTTCATGGACAGGAATGCCAGTTGCCTTATAGACCAGTTTCCCTTCTTGGATTATCACCTCAGAATCTACCCCTTTCTTCCTGTTTGTCATGAAGAGGCCAATTTTACGTGCATATTTGGATGAAACTTACTGGATCTAGATTCAACTTTTCTGTCACTTATAATATGACTTCTTCAACTTTAACCTAAGAACGATCTGAAAAAAGACTTGTCCAACCAGCCACATTTATTCAAAGTATGTGCAGAGGGGCGTATTTCATCAACCTGTGGCAATAGGGATTAAGAACCAGAAACTCTGAAAGCTAATCACAGCTTCAAGCCAGTAGCCGCTTGAGAGTATCCAGACCTTTACCCATTGATCTTATATAACAACTCACTAGAGAAGAACTTAGACCTTGGTGGCTTGCTTCACAGCTTGCCGCCACTTTGCCCGAACATCCATTTGTCTGAGCTTTTCTCGTTAAAAGGATTTAAACTTATATTGTTCTAAGACTCTAAATTAGTCCTTAATTAATTAAAAGAATTTCTGTTTATAACCTCGAATTAAAGGAATCGGGCTTGAACATACTAGGCAGAAGAACCCTCATTGATATGCGTGTTGCCACCTTAGGATGCTGAGTCCTTGACAAGACCTTGCACAAAAACATACGTGTGCCATCCAAGCGAAGTGCCACTCTTCTTTCAGGTTGTAATCACCATCCATGGTTTGAGCAAGGAAACCAGAACCTTACACATATTCCAGAATTGGGCATCAGCGAAACAGGCAGCCAAGCCTAAACTCAACCAGCACATCGCAGAGACGACCACTGGCAGCTTGCCTCCAACAATATACACAGTGTTGTCCCTGCTTCGGTTAGCTAAGACTCTTCACTCGAAAAAACTCGACAGCATCACCCAGTTTCCCGGCCTGAGAGTACGCAGCAAGCATTCCATTGCATGAAACTAAGTCCTTCCCAGGCATGGAGTCGTAAACCTCTTTAGCCCTCTGCAAATGCCCGTTCTTGGCATATGCTGACAGCATCAAATTCCAAGTGAGTTCTACAGCATCGAAGACCGAGCGAGAGACAGCCACACGTTCACATCTCCCATACATTTGATGTGAAGATTCGACAGAAAAGTCCCTTGGTGGCTGCTGAAAGAAACCCAACTTTGGATCAGCTTGGCTTGAGACAGGCTCCTGGAAGAAGTTATCAACGCGATCATTCTTGCAGGCTTGGCACTGCCGAGTCCAAAGAAGACATTCATACACGAAAACTTCACCAGGAGTTTGAACTACAACTTGCACGGCCATGGAAACAAAAAGAGGAGAATCACCCATCATGCAAATCTTATAAATTGAAAAACGTCTATCATGTGAATGATAAGTACAGAAGCTATGCCATTTCTTGCTATAAATTTATCCTCGCACATCTTAATCGTGGATTCTTTTACCAAGCTCAGGGATTAACCGGGTTGAGGCCCTGGCTTATGTGGGCTGGGTCTGGATCAGGTGGGGATGTTTGCTCCAAGGCAAGAACTATGGATCCTTGCTTCTTTTCGTTTCGGGAGTCTAACTGCGATTATGGAGATGTCAAGCTATAGCGCCTGGTGTTTGCTGCTGCCCACCAAGAACAATCCCGGAACGAAGTAGACGTTTGACCGGCGAAACAGCCATGCCATTGGAAGAGTTTTTGCTGCTCCTTGCAGAAGAATTTCGATCGTCCGAGTTCCTGGCTCCCTGGAGAGCCGATTATTCACAGTCAACGATTCATCACGCCCGGATCTTCTAAGCACTGTCACGATTTCGCGAACTCGATCAAGTTATCTGTCCGTGGACTACACCTCTTTGGGAATGGCTCGCGAAACAATCGATCCATGTTTTCTGTGGACGAATCTCTCGCGATGAGAAAAACTCTGTTCATGAGCATAGCATAGAGAAAAGTGGAAGCAATCGCCAGCATCTTGTTTCCCAGGCTCGCGATCCAAATGGCGCTATCCACACCACGAATTGGGAGTCGCCGTGATCGCCGTTTGGGTCATCTTGGATCAATCGAGAGCACCGGGCGTGGATTTGCTCGTAACGTCGCGGTGGATGAGAGCTGGAGATGGCGAGTAGCTTTCCGCCGATGGGTCTGAGGATTTGCGGCGATAGAACTGGAACTCTAGCCGCTGCGAGCATCGCCTTGCTCTGGAACGATGAGATCCTCCGCGACCTTGTCCGGGAAGTAATTCTGAGACAGCAAAACGTAGAGGAAGAACAGACCAGTGGTGTGTGAAGAGGATGCTAGACAAGGACGAGGGTCTTATGGGTTATGGAGGGAATGTGCGATGAGAAAGGTGGTGGATTCGAGGATTGAGTATCTCTCGAGGGAGCCGAGGTAAAGAGGAACTATTTGTTGCCACTGATGAAGGTGGTTTTTATGGAAATCCCCGGAACCAGTGGCGCTTGGATGAAGTGGGACTGTGGGAGAGCACTGCATTTGGGGAGGAGATGGAACATCCCCAAGGACTGAAAGACAGGCTTACGTGCAGGGAATTTAAAAAATCAAGTGTTGTAAAATGCCCACTAAGGGCATTACATGGAATTTGTGAATCTTCTTTGCTTTACAATGAGCTGTAACTGCAGTTACACATCTGAGGATTCAAATCGCTTTGAAGTTGATTATACCCTTTACATAATGTTGTTGAGGATATAGAAAAATAGTAACATGCGGACTTTAATTTTTGATGACCGGTTGATAACACAGCCCACAACGTTCGCAGAAAAGATGGTTAAGCGTGAGAGTGGCCCCAAGAGGGAACAAGGATCTTGTCCAAGCTTTGCTCCAATCTCTCTCCAGGGGCTGAAAAGGGAGAAAGGGAGAAGAAGGTTGGCGGGTGTTGCTTTGGGACGATAGTCATGGAGCTATGTGGCCCTAGCCTGTGGGATCAAGCGATGAAAGGGCCACTGAGCGAGAAGGAGGTAGCCGAGATTCTGAAGAAGCTGGCCGAGACACTCAGTCGAAGGGTGTTGCCCATCGCGACCTCAAGCTGGAGAACGTTTTCACCAAGCTGCAAGATGCAAGCATAGACGAACCACTGATTGGTGGATTTGGAGTGGTAACCGACGATCCAAGAGAGATGAGCCAGTGCTGTGGGACAAAGAAGTACATGGCTCCTGAGAATATCTTCATCGAGAGATACAGGAGATTGTCATACACAAAGGCAGTGGATGTTTGGGGGCTTGGAGTGATGGCATACGAGCTTCTCAAAGGCTACAAGTGATCGAACCTGGAGTTCCAGTGGCTTGTCAATATGTAGCCGGAGGTGTAAAATCTGATTATGGAGGAAAAGATTGACACTAGATCAAGTGATCAATCATTCTTAAATTCTAGAGAACTATAGCACCACACAATCTACTGCCGATATCAAAATGTGTTGTGGAGTGAGAATCACATCAACTTAGTGGCTTAGTAGAAAATTCTTAAGCTCATCTATAAACAAGCTTCGATATGAAAAGATGTTTAAATTAAAATGGATTGTCTTAAATTTTTGTTGTAGCTCGCCTGCAACAACTAATCCTTGCTTCTCTCTGTGCCTGGCAATGGGCCTGGCAATGGTGTAACTTGTCATCATGCCCAGTCCTTCGAAAGAGATCACCTTTAATTCCATATAAATTATTCTAATTAATAAAAAATATTAGCCGTTGGATCTTAAAATGGTCTTTTACAATGGTCAGCTTTTTACTGGTGAAGTTTTTAGTTTAATAAAACTAATGACTTTTCGCGATCATTAAACCTGTTGTGGGAAGCTAGGTTTTCTTAAAACCAAGCGAAAAAAGGGAAGACGTGTAAATTGGGTCTAGCAAAATGCCAGTTTGTCGGGCTATACTCTTGCAAGCACCGATCTCCCCTCCAAAAATCTTTTCAAACCTGTGCTATCATACTATTATACTGTAGCTCGCAAGCTTATATATAAATCATACCTGCGTACTCGTTTCCTCTCCTCCCAAACAAGAGGTAAACTCAAAGCCTCTGCCAACTGATCGCAGCGAAACTGCTGAAGAAAATCAGTGACAAGGTTCTTCGTTTGTCTCTCGTAGTAGTCGCGAGAACCGGAGAGCATTACACCAACAATCTCCCACTGGTGAAGGCTGGAAGAAAGGATATATACCACCAAAAGGATTTAAACTCGAGCATACCCGAGCAACGCGATTCCTAGAGCCAGGCCAATGGCGGATGTTCCAGTGCCAGAATCGACCACGATTTTGATCTTGTCATGTCGTTCGAAGACTTCATTTTCGCTTAGCCATCTCACAAGTCTTATAAAGCCTGATCTTAGAACGCACGGAGAAAAGATTAGAGATACAAACATATCAAGGTTGAAAATCACTCACCGAGAAGTGCTAGACCACTCGCACCACCTTCTCCAAGCACGGCCCATTTTCTTCTTCCTCTTCCGGGTTCAAGCAATTTAGAATTTTCTGAAGGAGTGATTGTTTCTCTGGTGATAGAGTTGCCATTCAACCAAAGAACTGGTTCTTCAGAACAAGCAACACGTTCCATATGCGAGCTTAACATTTTTTGTCGATCGGCATACTCGGTTCTTGGAACATACACCACGTTTCCATAAACCTCCGATATCAAGTTATATCCAGTCGTGACTTCAAGTTTTTCACCTCGTAGCAGCAAATGACCCATGCTAAGCACACGCCACAGCTGAGCTGAGAAAACACGTTAGATAGAAAAGAAGAAGTATAAAACCAGAGAATTCTTAGTCTTCTTTTCGTACCTACAGCAGCAGCATGACAGCCTCCACAAGTCACCTGATAGACATTGAAATCGCTTCAAAGGAAGAAAAGAAAGAACAAAAAACAAGCAGAGTACGTACCACATCAGTGATTTCCTCGTCCTTGAGGAACGGGACCACAGCGTCGAGCTTTCTGATTTTGTTTCCACCGAGCGTCGGGTGCAGCAAGTCGTCTCGAATCACACGGAACTTGCGCGGCTCCTTCTCCGTCTTGCTTGTCACATTTTTGCAGAAATCAAACTTGCTCAAGTTTTGAAAGCTGCACTCACAACCTTTCAAAGCAAACCCAACAGTGTCAATTCTGCTGCAAGGCGTTTCCAGACACTCCTCTTTGCAGCAATGCGTCCAGAGAAGACATGTCCAGAATTCTAAAGCCCTAATGAGCCTTGGCCCGGTTTCAAGGGACGCCAAGGAAGTGATACAATTATGCCAGTGAACCAAGTCCACAAAGTTACCATACATTGGAATGGGCCGCCTGAGTTTAAGGCCACCTCCAGGCATAAGAGCAACTGTGAGCAGGTATGACTGCGATTTTTGGTACACCATCTCATTTACGGTCCCAAGAGCGTGAGTAAGTTGATTTTAGAGCAGTGGCTTGCAGTTTCCACCAGATGGCATCAAGGAAAGATTGGCTGAACTCTTATTAATTAACCACTGCCGAGCTCAATCTTCTCTACAGGGACAAGTAAGCGCACTCGTTTCTTCAAATGTTAACTAGAACGGAGGAAGCTACGTTTTTGCTCATAACACCAAATACAACACGGAGATCCCAAGTTACAGGCGTCAAATTTATTTATCGCATGCATATTCTTGGATAAGCAACTCTATTCCGTTTGACGAGGTTCTGGGATACAGTGATTTGTAATTCGTGCAATCGCCAATCCAGAAGATGGAAGAGGCAGTGTAGGTTGTCGAGGAGCACAAGAGGCAGCAGCCAAGAGCTGAGAAGTTCCACTTCTTTGTTGATGGAAGCGAGGAGCTTCATGAGTCTGAAAACCATCTGGTTCCCTACGGAAGCTTCTACTTAGTGGTGCGAGGGTCTGGTGGCGTACGAGTGCAAACCCGACCTTGCTCGTTATAGAGAAAGTGACGCTACCACCTTCCGCTACAAGGATGGGGGATTCAGCAAGGTAAACAAAGAGTTTTGGATCTGATTCGACGTGATCACTTGAGAAATATGCAGCTGGCTGTTTTCTTGGACGCCTGAAGTTCAAGAATCGACCATCGAGGATATCAGAGTTGACAGCACAAGAAGAGGCTTTCATGCACTACTTCGTCATGCGCTCGCGAGATTGCTGCAAAATTGTAAACCAAGACCACATTGCTATGCTCGTAATGAATGCCGTCCGGAACCGGAGGAGCATGTGAGAGAGTGGAGCAGTCGATGATCGTGCGAAGAACAAAGTCGTGAGGAATTTTTCGCTGCATGAAGAGGTGGCTCGAGTGTGAGAGAGGGCTCAGTGACACAAGCTCCAACCTAGTGGGGAATGCGAGACCGACAAGGACATGGCGAAGTTGGACATGACTTACATCCCAGGTACCTTTCAACCAAGTCTAAGCTTGCTCTGTTACCAAGCACGCAAGACGCTTCTGCTAGTTGGCATTTGTTTTTCGTGTATTGTGATGCCCCATTCCAAGGCTGTTAGATTTGTAGATTCTATTGGCACTTGCCAGGCACGTTCAGTCGTGAGTATCAGGAAAGAAAGGCATTGTATCAATGAGTTCTTTACAGGATCTATCATATCCTCCACGAGCAAACAAGGAGATGATACAACCATATTGTTGCTTGCCAGGCGTTACTAAGTAGTCTGTTATCATTGATTTAAACAGAAAAAGTGAATCGTCAACCTCACCGCTATGGCTCAAAGCAATCAATGCAGAGGTAAAAGATACATCATCCAGCTTGACACCATCAGCAACACAGTTTCTAAAGAGCTCCAAGGATTGTGCAGTTTGCCCATTTAAAGCATACATTCCAATTACTACATTCCAAGAAACCAGATTTTGCTCGGGCAAGGTTGAGAAAAACGCCTTTCCAGTAGTAGTATGCTCATTTTGAGCATATGACACAAGTAGAGTGTTCCACGAAATAGAGTTCCTGTGTCTCATTTTCTGGAAGAGCAAGAGGGCATCCTCGATGTATCCATGCTGAGAGTAAGCTGCCATCAGAGTGTTGTAAGAGACAATATTGTGGGAAGGCATCAAATCAAACAGGCACTTTGAGTCTTCTAAATGCCTGTGTTGGGAATGTCCTGAAAACATAGCATTCCATGCGATTAGATCTCGCTCAGGCATCTTCTCAAACAACACCTTCGCTTCCTCCACATTTCCTTGATAATTTCTGGAATATAATAAAGAGGTCCAAGCGACAATGTCCCACTCGGGCATGGCATCAAAATGATGTTTTGCATTGTCCGGATGACCGTTTTGGGCATATGCCGAAAGCATAGAGTTCCAAATAAAAAGAGACCTGTATGGCATGCTATCAAACAAAAGCTTTGCATCGTCAACCTTGCCCTGTACAGTGTAGGCACTTAGCATGGCGACGTGTGAAAAGGAATCTTTCTCAGGAAGTAGTGTTTCGTACATTACTTTAGCAAGACCATGATGCCCGCCTGAGACATATGCCGGAAGCATGAAATTGAAAGACATTTGGTCCCACTCGGGCATTTTGTCAAATAATCTCTTTGTCTCGTCAAGATCCCCATCAAGAGCAAATGATCGGAGAACGCAGTTCCAAGAGCTAAGATTCCGGGCACACATCCAACTGAGCATCTCCTTGGCATTGAACGAGCTCCCACTGTCACAAAATGCCGCTAGCATTGCATTCATTGACACAAGGTCCCATTCCTCCATTCCATCAAATACCATCTTTGCTGGCTCAAGTTTCCCATTTTCAGAAAAGGCATTCAAGAGTGCCGTGTCTGAGATTATATCCTTGTTTGGAATTTGGTCGTAAAGCTTGATGATCTCGTAAAGATGCCCAATTGGAGTATATGCAGCAAGGAGTGTATTCCACGAGATAATGCTTGGATTGGGAATTTTAGCAAAGAATTCCTTTGCTTCGTCAAAGAGACCTTGAGCGGCTAAAGCGCTTAGAATTAAGTTGTATGACACCAAATTTTTTCTTGGCATCCTTTCTAACAAGGACAACGCTTCTCGCAAATTCCCGCTTTGAATATATGCTGCTAGCATAGAGTTCCACGAAATTGTGTCTCGCTCAGGCATTTCTTCAAACACAATTCTTGCTTCGTCAAGTTGACCATGATGCGAGTAGACTGATAGCATTGAATTCCAGGAAACCAATTTTTTCTCTTGCAAGTAATCAAATATCTTTCTCGCTTTCTAAATATGCCCAGCTTTACCATCATCGTATTGTGAGAAACCACGTCTTTTTCTTCCATTCCATCAAAAAACATGTCCACCACCTCAATCTCTTCATTTTGTGATATAGCGGCTAGCATTGTGTTCCACGAAACTAGATTCTTCCTCAGCATGTCGAGATGTCAGTCTCGATCAGCTGACGTGGCATGTCCACGTGGTCATGAGTCATGTCCCTTGAGTCATGTAAAAAGAGTCGGAACACAATGAACGAGCTCATGAGTGTTATGTCCATCCCTTTTTACACCACAACATGGTATCGGATTTCGGGGACGATCCTGGTTGGTTGATTTGACGTTGCTGTCATGGCCGCTTCAACCCCACCACCTCCGCCGCCCCCACCACCACCGCCGCCGCCGCCGCCGCCGCCGCCACCGGTTGCTGCTCAAGTTCTCGTGGCTTCCACAGAGAAGGTGGAGAAATTCAATGGCACGAATTTCTTCACATGGGCGACAAGAATCAGGCTGATCCTCTCTGCGAAACGAGCGTGGAACATCGTTGATGGGACTGAGCCTCGTCCCGCTGAGCAGACGCTACAATCAGATTGGGATTTTCGCAATCAGCAAGCCATCACCGTCATTGGCTTGGGATTGAGCGATGAATTCTTGCCGCTGATTGATCTCACCAAGACCGCTGCTGAAATCTGGACGTCGCTTCGCACGATCTTCGTGGCCCAAGCCGCAAATTCTTCCATGTTGCTGAATCAACAATTCTTGGCGCTTCACATGGAAACGGGTGAAACCATTGCTGTGTACGTGGGACGGATTCGAGGGCTAATGGCTGAATTGACTGGTGCTGGGTCTCCTGTCACGGACGATCGCGCCAGGGCGTTGCTGCTTGCAACCGTCACGCCTGCGTTTAGCACGCTCGCATCTGTTCTATCTCACATGGCCATGAACTTTGATCAAGTCGTGGGTGCCCTAATTGAAGAGGAACGCAAGATGAAGGGGAAGAAAGAAGCGATGCCCTCTGCCAAATCTTCCTTGCTTTATGCTGGCGCTGCGGGAGGATCATCCTCGTCCTCTCAAGCTCAGCCGAACGACACTGGTTTTCGTGGCATTTGTCACTATTGCCACAAACCTGGACAATTGGCGAGGGATTGCAAGAAGAAGAAAGCTGATCGTGCTAAAGCTGCCAAGAACAAAGACAAAGGAAACAAAGACAAGGGCTCTGGGACTCCTCGTAAGCTCTTGATGGCTCGCTCTGCAAGCAGCAGCCACCAGCCCGTGCTCGGACCAGAGCTGTGGCTGGATTCTGGAGCGTCATTCCATATGACGCCCATGGCTTCCTTGTTTTTTGACTACCAAGAACCGTGTGAGAGTGACGCCGTGGGACTCGGTGACTCCTCTGCTCACGACGTACTAGGCAAAGGAACAATCAGGGTTCAGCTCTCTTCTGGAGAAATCCGGGAGATCTATCCTGTGTCTTATGTTCCGGGACTTACACACACGCTGCTGTCGATTGGAACTGCTGCTCAAGTAGGCTTCGATACTCTGTTCACAGCACAGGGAGCGTTCGTGCTGGATGCCGAGACTGGAGATAAGGTCGCTTTTGGAGTTCCAGTTGATACGCTCTACCGCCTGGATGCTCACGTGATCCTTCCACCTGTGGCACTGATGGCTCGGGTTCCACCGACACTTGCAACCTGGCACCAGCGCCTTGGTCACGTGAACGAGCAACAGCTAAAAAAGGTGGATGTTCCTGTGGCGCCTGGGAGCACGCTGCCCTTCTGCGAAGCTTGTGTTGGTGGAAAACACCACGTTTTTCCTTTTCCACAGATTTCTCATTCTCGAGCAAGTTCTGTTCTTGAGTTGGTACACTCGGACGTTTGTTCGATTATGGTTGAATCTTTGGGAGGCAAACGTTACGTAGTCACCTTCCTGGATGATTACACGCGGTACCTGATCGTGTACCTGCTGGCTCATAAGTCAGAAGTGTTCTCCTGTTTTAGCCAATACAAGAACCCCGGACCTGGACATTGGCAAGCTGTGAAGCGGATTTTCCGCTACGTTCGAGGTACCTTGCATTTGCAGCTTCACTATGGCGCTGCTGTGTCACAGGAACTTCATGGGTACTCGGATGCGGACTGGGCGGGCGACCAGGACTCAAGGCGCTCTACCTCCGGGTATACGTTCTTGCTCCATGGGGCTGCTGTGTCCTGGAGCAGTAAGCGCCAGCCGCTGGTGGCTCTATCCTCGACGGAGGCAGAGTACATTGCCCTAACCGCTGCCAGCAAAGAAGCGATTTGGTTGACCCAGTTCTGCCGTGACCTGCCCCAGATTCCTGCTTGCACCGGACCTATGGTGCTGTTCTCGGACAACCAAAGTGCTCTTGCACTGGCCGCCAATCCGCGCTTCCATTCTCGGACGAAACACATCGAGATTCGTTTCCACTACGTGCGGGAACAAGTCCAAAATGGAAAGTTGTTGCTGGAATATTGCCCCACCGAGGCAATGGTGGCTGATATACTCACGAAGGCTTTGGCTCGAGACTCCTTTGAACGCCATCGCGCTGCACTGGGAGTCTGCTCTCCATCTGTTTCGGCTGAGTGGGAGGGGTAGTCCATCCTCTCAGCTGATCGAGCCAGAGTGGGAGTGTCGAGATGTCAGTCTCGATCAGCTGACGTGGCATGTCCACGTGGTCATGAGTCGTGTCCCTTGAGTCATGTAAAAAAAGTCGGAACACAATGAACGAGCTCATGAGTGTTATGTCCATCCCTTTTTACACCACAACACAGCATGTCGCTGAAAATCTTCCTGGCTCCTCTCAAATCTCTGGCCCTCGTAAAAGCTGCAAGAACGGTGTTCCACGACACCAAATCCTTCTCTTACATCGTTCGAAAAAACTCGACAGCGTCACCCAGTTTCCCGGCCTGCGAGTACGCAGCAAGCATTCCATTGCATGAAACCAAGTCCTTCCCAGGCATGGAGTCGTAAACCTCTTTAGCCCTCTGCAAATGCCCGTTCTTGGTATAAGCTGACAGCATCAAGTTCCAAGTGAAGGAGTTCTTGGCGACCACAGCATCGAAGACTGAGCGAGCATCGGCCACACTTCCACATCTCCCATACATTTGAATGAGAAGATTCGAAAGATAAGTCCCTCGGTGGCTGCTGGAAGAAACCCGACTGTGGATCTGCTTGGCTTGAGACAGGCTCCTGGAAGAAGTTATCAGCGCGATGCATTCTTGCAGGCTCGGCACTGCCGAGTCCGAAGAAGGCATTCATGCACGAAAACTTGTCACCAGAGTTTGATCCCACTGGAACAACTTACATCATGGAAACAAGAGCCCACCCGTAATGTTTGTTTGTAACATCTTGTATAATTTTTTGACAGATCGTGGGTGCCTATGAGCGTATCAAAGTGGCGGGCTTCACGACGTGAATCACTAAACATCTTGATATGACTTTGCTATGTCATTTCTTGTTCTAGAATTTATCCTTGCACATCTTAGTCGTGGATTCCTTGTTGTAACATCCAAGCTCGTTGAATGGGAGGCATAACCACGTCAAAGAAAGATAACTTCCTTGAAATCAGTTGCATATCAAACAATTCATACCAAAATGGTCCACATTGGAAGACACAATAAAACTCTCTAGATGTCCTAAAAAGAATGGATAAAGATTCAAGTTGTTTTGAGTTGAACACCAGGCGCTATAGGCCAATCTTGACACTGCTCCACATTGTCAAGCTTGACATCTCCACAATCGCAGTTAGACTCCCCAAACGAAAAGAAGCAAGGATCCATAGTTCTTGCCTTGGAGCAGACATCCCCACCAGATCCAGGTCCAGCCCACATAAGCCATGGCCTCAACCCGCCTAATCCCTGGCCAATGTAGCCGAAAGTAGAGCCAGGACTCGTGATCAGCACGTCGCTGAGCCCCAGCAAGTAAATCTCCGCGAGAGCCTTCTCATCGTGATCGAGAAATCCGGTGTGCTGCTGCCCCTCGTGGCTGGGCTGCTCCACTCTCACGATCGATCCATCGGCGGTGGAGGAGTTGAGGTAGATCTCTCGCAGCACGTCAAAGTGGTGTTCATCCAGCGAAGTCACCACCGCCGCGATCTGCTGCTGCGAGCTGATCGAGGAGCGGAGCTTGATCCTCTCGACGTTGTTCTTGCTGATATTGGGAAGGATCTTTGTCTCCACGGCGCATTGGAACACCTCCGCCGCCAGGTTTTGACGAACTCCTTGCAAGTGTGGAGGAACTCTCATTTGGATGCCGACTACGCGATCGGCGCGCGCGAGATATGAGTCGTAGAACCGCGCTGTGCGATCCCACACCGGATCGATGGGATGGAAGAGATAGCGGCTCAAGTGATGGAAGATCGCCTGCTGCTGGGGGAAGAGCTTCGCGAGATCACTCCGGAAGGATTCCACCAAGAACAATCCCGGAGCAAAGTAGACGTTTGACCGGAGAAACAGCCACGTTACCTGCGATTGCAAGAGTTTTTGCTGCTCCTTGCAGAAGAATTTTCGATCGTCCGGGGTGTAGTCCACGGACAGATACGAGTAGGCCACATCTGGAAACTTGATCGAGCTCGCGAAATCGTGACAGTGCTGAGGAGTGATTTTTAGATCCGGGGCATGGCCGATCCGCGATGAATCGTTGACTGTGGATAATCGGATCTCCAGAGGTCTGGGAAGGAGCCAGGAACTCTTTGGGAATGGCTCGCAGAACAATCGATCCATGTTCTCTGCGGACGAATCTCTCGCGATGAGTAAAACTCTGTTCGTGAGCAGAGCATAGAGAAAAGTGGAAGCAATCGCCAGCATCTTGTTCCCCAGGCCCTGCGATCCAAATGGCGCGATCCACACCACGAATTGGCAGTCGCCGTGATCGCCGTTTGGATCATCTTGGATCAATCGAGAGCACCGGGCGTGGATTTGCTCGTAGCGTCGCAGGTGGTGGATGAGAGCTGGCGATGGCGTGTAGCTTTCCGCCGATGGGTCTGTCGATTTGCGGCGATAGGACTGGAACTCTACGCGGCTCCGGCACTTGCGAGCATCACCTTGCTCTGGAACGATGAGATCTTCCACGATCTTGTCCGGAAAGTGATTATGAGACAGCAAAACGTAGAGGAAGAACAGACCAGTGGTGATCAGAGCAATGGATTTTGGGTTGGAGTAAGACACCATTTTCGTGACTCTCTCCATTCTTCATGAAAGGAATGAACGTGTGCATAGCAAGGTTAGTCCCGACTGTTCCCAACACAGACCAACCCAAACCAGCCGTGAAAGTGCTGAATGGCTAAATAGTTCACAAATTTTTTTTGATAAAAAAAACATTTTTAATAAAACCACATTAATAAAAGTAGGAAAACCAAAGCATTAAACCAAACCAAACCAAAGCATTAAACTAAACCAAACCAACTACTACTCATCTTTTTCAACCTGTTAGTAAGCTTCTTGACATTTTAGGCATCTTCTTCAACAATCACATTTTTATTTGGAAAATTTTCTTTGGTTAAATCCTCTATACCAAAAGATTCAAGCTTAGCTTGCTAAAGTGCATGTGGTTTTCACTTTTTATCCTATGGTGATTTACCATAAGATAACCTAAACCCTCTATATGCCATGTGTCCAAATGATATTGAGTTTCAAAGCTTTGGGCCACTAAATGAAAGAACGGTGCTAAACTCCCAAACATGGAGCCAATGAGTAACAGAACCGGACCACGGAGTAACTCCCAAACATATAGCCTAAGGAGCAAAGTGATAAGAGCCCAAAGTGACTTGGAACAATCCTAGAGCAACTAACATCCCATTATCAGGATTAACATGCAAAATGGAGCCAAACGAAATTTAGTGTTATTTTAGCATAACAGTGGCCTAACACAAAGACATAAGTACTCCACAAGTTAGCATGGAATAAAACTTGGGGCTTAGACCCCCCCCCCCCCCCTCCTTGAGGAACACACGCTTTAGGCTTTCACCCCAAACCTTCCTTAGTATCAGGAGTTACGTCTCTGCGATAAGCTTGCAACTTACTAAATATGGAATGTCTTTAGTGTCATGAATTTGGATATGGGATGAACACCATTGTGTTCAGGACAATCTCTACATTCCATAGATATGCCAAATGAGCAAATCTAGACACTTTCTATAAATAACATTTGGGACCAAAATAAGACTAACACAAAAGGCATGATAGTGAAGATATGGTAAGTTATTATTTAGAAAATATTGAGGGACCAATCTCAATATTGCAAGGGTTCTTGATACTAGCAAGTGCAAGCCAATGACAACAGTTTCTCAAACCGGGCCGAGTATGCTCAGCAAGAAACATATAGGGTTCCTACATTATGTTTATCCGATTTAAGTGCATGATCATTAATCAATTTCTCAACTAGCTCAAGTGGGAACTGATAATGGGTTCAACACTACCGACCTCCTGCCATCGTGGTGTGAGACACAAAATCCCTAGGCCCCAAAGTGGAGCCGGAAGGGCGCCACATGGTAGTGGCCGAAGCGAGAGCCAAACGAGCGTAACACGTTTGGACCAAAAGCTCTGACTTGAAAAGTCAAAAGCGGGAGTGGAACTCCCAACGAAGTGCTCGAGGAACGAGCACGAAGCGAGCAAAAGGCGAGGCTCCAAAAAGGGACCCAAAAGGACCAACACATGACACGTGGGAGTGTCCGAGATGGACTCAAGTTGGAGTCCGAAGTGGAGTCCGAGATGAACCCGAGTTGGAGTCTGAAGTGGAGTCCGAGATGGACCCGAGTTGGAGTCCGAAGTGGAGTCCGAGACGGACCCGAGATGGAGTCCGAGATGGAGTCCGAAGTGGAGTCCGAGGTGGACCCGAGATGGACCCGAGTTAGAGTCCGAAGTGGAGTCCGAGATGGACCCGAGATGGAGTCCGAGATGGAGTCCGAGATGGAGTCCGAGGTGGACCCGAGATGGACCCGAAATGGAGTCCGAGATGGAGTCCGAGATGGACCCGAGATGGAGTCCGAGATGGAGTCCGAAATGGACCCGAGATAGACCCGAGATGGAGTCCGAGATGGAGTCCGAGATGGAGTCTGAGATGGAGTCCGAGATGGAGTCCGAAGTCGAGACCGAGACCGGGACCGAGACCGAGACCGAGACCGAGATCGGGACCGAGACCGAGACCGAGGCCGAGGCCGAGACCGAGCCCGAGCTCGAGTCTGAGTCCGAATCCGAGTCCGAGTCCGAGTCCGAGTCCGAGTCCGAGTCCGAGTCCGAGTCCGGAGCCTGAGAGGGTGAAAGCCCAAAGCGTTCGTCTCCCAGACCCTAGGGGGTTTGGTGAGCTCCAAAAGTATAGTAGGGGGAGGACTGCAGTGGAGCCAGTTTGGCCAGGAAAGGCCAGTTTGGCCCAGGAAGGCCGGACCCAGTGTTGGGTGATGAGCTGCCCACTGGGAAGTCCAAGACTAGAGTGAACACAAACCGACAAGCAGGGTAGCTTGGTGAAGTGTTCAAGAGCCGGCTCTAGTTCCCCCGGGAGATTGACTGGCCGATACTCCCAGTCCAAGTGTGGGTGGCACTACCTACTTGGATACCTGGTGTGGCTCAACGGAACCCGCTCTAAGCCCATGGCTAGAGCACCCAAGGGCAGAAGGTGAGGAGAGTACCCAGGTGGCTCGCGTAAGGCCACGGTGTTCCGAAATGTTGTCCCAAAGGCCCAGACTGTGGAAAGGAAGAGGAGCAGTCCTCTGGGGTAGTGACCAAGGACACAGTCGTGTGGTGAGGAAGTCCCAGAGGACCGTGGGACTTAGTGGTCGGGCCTGTGGGTCTCGATCCAGTGGCAGTGTTGGCAAACACGACCAGGGGCAGAAAGGGACTTAGTGGGGACTGACAGAGGGATATTGGGGAAGGCTATTCCCCTTGTCGGTGGGCATCCTAAGGATGCTAAGGAGTGGATCTGAGATGACCACTCACGGATGGTTTGCCTAGTCTTGGAGAGCCAAGACGGTGATGCAAGTGGTATTGGACTACCAGTGTGGCAAAGGTGATTGGGCATGGCCTTAGCGTAACGGGCTGCTATGTCGGTGGTACCTTTGAGTGTCGGTCATGGGATCGGACACGTGGTGCACTTGGACCAAGTGCAAATGTTGAGTGGCATGGATGCCATTCTCGGGGCTAGCAAGTCCCAAGTCCTGGATTGGACTTATGGAGGTTGTGAATGAGACTCCTCCAAGTGGTCAGAGGTGTGGTTAAGTGACTAAAGTAGAACGGAAAATTTAGTCACTTACACGTGGCAGTAAGGAAAAAATATTCAAAAAGACTAGTCGACAGGTAACTTTTGATACCCGAAGTCACATTTGCGACATTTGCATCTCTACAATCTTTATCTATTGTGGTTCGATTGCAATTGTGTCGAGATCGATCTCTAGAAATTTCATTCTTTCACTTTCAAAATTATTTACCACTCTAGTATTACTGTGCATATAAATCAACTTCTTCGTTTGGTAGTGGTTGGGATTTCAGCCAAATGCAGTCGGGACCAACAATGCTGCATAGTCATAACTCTGCTCGTGAAGCTTCCGTGCTTGGCTAGTTTGCATGTACACATAAAACCCCGACTGCATCAAACAATGCAAAATTACAAAATAGAGATCACCTTTAATTCCATATAAATTATTCTAATTAATAAAAAATATTAGCCGTTGTATCTTAAAATGGTCCTTTAAAATGGTCAGTTTTATGATCATTAAACCTGTTGTGGGAAGCTAGATTTTCTTAAAACCAAGCGAGAAAAAGGGGAAGACGTGATGGCGCTCGAGGATGGCGAGTTTAGAGATGACGAGTGTGGCGAGCTTCTCAAGTGGTACATCAGACACGAGAAGTTGGGGCATGGAGGACAGGGCCAAGTCTACTTGCTGAGTGACGCAGCCCGCAACCGCCATAGGTACGCAGGAAAGATGTTTAAGTTGGAGAGTTGTGCCGAGAGGGAGACTAGGATCTTGGACAAGCTTCGCCCCATTCCTGGAGTTGTCTTCCTCCATGGGCTGAGGAGGGAGAGGAAGGTTGGCGGGCGTTGCTTTGGGACGATGGTCATGGAACTTTGTGGCCCTAGCCTGCGCGATCTAGCGATGAAAGGGCCACTGAGGGAGGAGGAGGTAGCCGAGATCGTTAAGGAGCTCGCTGAGACACTCAAGGGCGTCCACTCGAGTGGTGTTGTCCATCGCGATCTCAAGCTGGAGAACGTTTTCACCAAGCTGCAAGATGAAAGCACGATCAGGCCAGTGATTGGGGATTTTGGAGTGGCGACCGACGATGCCAGAGAGATGAGCCAGAGCTGCGGGACTGAGAAGTACATGGCTCCCGAGCTTATCTTTGTCGAGAGATATGGGCTGTCTTACACGAAGGCGGTGGATGTTGGAGTGATCGCATACGAACTCCTCAAGGGCTATCAGCGATCGAACCTGGAGATGCATTTGCTGCGCGAGGGGGAGTTCCAGTGGCCTGCCAATCTGTCACCAGAGGCGAAAAATCTGATTATGGGCATGCTGGACTTGGATCCCAGGAAGAGATTGACACTAGACCAAGTGATCAATCATCCTTGGATTCTAGAGAACTGTAGCACCACACGGGCTACTGCCAATATCACAAGTTGTTATGGAGGGAAGAGAAGCACTCCACACTCTAGCCATCCAGCTGTGAAGAAACTTAGAAAACTTCTACACCAAAGCTCATCTAAAGTTAAATATGTTTTAACTGTGTTTAAAATTGTCTTGAGTTTCATTGTAGCTCAGCTGCAACAACCAATCTTTAATGGTGTAACTTGTCATTAAACCCAGTCCTTCAAAGGCAGCTACATTATTACCACGGGGTTACAAGGAAACAATAAAAAATAACCATCAAACACCTTAGGGTTGTAAAGACTCATGGAGAGCTTTACCAACAAGTGCATAGAAGATGATCTTCTCTATTTCCTGATTACCTAAAACGATGATAGTGCCACTGTAAAGATGATGCTTGCTCCCTCATTTATATTTTGCATTCTTGCACATATTAGGAACTCAAGGGAGAAGACAGATATAGATGAAGCACTGTTACCTTGTGTGAGTAGACAGCTCTCCAGGTACGAAGCTCATTCTAAGGTTGATGTGATATAGCTAATTTCATAGGCAAACTGGCTAAAGCTTGTAGTATCAATGAACTGGCTCATGTCACTTGGACTCTGCGTATTAAAAACAATATTGAGACATGAAGAACATACCAAGATAATAACCATATATTTTAAACATTTTTTATCTTTTATTTTTCCCTACCATATTGTCCTTGGTTAACCGTATTATAGCTAGAATTTTATCATATTTTTCATGCTCAATAAAAATAAATTATAATTAAATAAAGCTATTCAACAATAGCTTATACAAAGAATTTCAAAAACATTTAATAAAAGTTTCAATTATGGTTTTGATGCCTTTCACTGACTCTAATAAAGATTTGGTGGTTTTGCATGCCAAAAAATGATGGAAGTATTAAATTTTAAGTTGGATGGTTTTACATGGCAAGGAATGATGGAAGCATTAGATCTGAATATAATATTCCACTCAGAGCACAACAAAAGAGAAAAGACCTTGCATGCAATTTAATTCACTCTTGGTCCCTCTAATTTTCATTTGGATACTAAACTATTGTAAATTAAATTGCGCTTAATAAAGTTTTACATGACTAATATAAATCTTAAGTATTATTTTAAACAACCGAAATGATTAGTAGTTTTTGTTTCCCACCAAATAGCATTTGGACTATTAGCCTCATAAATTACTAAGTTGCAATTATTTAATAAACTAAGATAAGTAAGAAATATACAATCTGGTTGATTATAACAATAATGATCAATTGACCACATTTTTATTTTCTTATCAGTATATAATACCAAATTCCCATCTTTTTGAAGATCAAGCTTACATTGACCAATAAAATCAAATGTGATATCAGATCTCCATAGTAAATTTTTTCCTGAATAAAGTGAAACTTTACAATTTATTTCTATTAATAACACATTTTTGCGATTTGGGGATACCAAAAATTGGCCTATATATAACACATGGTCTGAAAAACCAGCATTTAAAGTAGTTAAGGTAGTATCACAATTATCATATGAAAGATAAGATGTAAACAAATTATTAACTTTAATTAAGGTTAGTCTCCACCAAAATACTACTGAATATTGAATAATATAATTTTGAGATATAATTTTTCATACATCAGATTTTGTTGCAATCATTGTAGTATTATATGTATTTATTAAGTACCTAACAGCTTCTTTGATTCTCACGCCAATAATTGTTTGGGTGTATTTGCTATTAAAATTGAGGATGTGGATGGAGAGCCACCATATTGATCAACTGGTCAAACTGAAACTGCCAATATTTAAAACAGTTAAATTCTTAATATGAATGATAATTTTTAATGTGGGTTAAAATATCTAAAAATCCATTATTAATTATAAGGTTAATTTAATTTTCAGTAAGTGTGTTATTATTACCCCATTCTACAGTTGCTCTTCCATAAACTATTTTTTTAATTAAAAATAGAAAATATAAAAATAAAAATAAAAATATTTTTATAGGTTTATACTTAATTAGCTCTAATATATATGAAATTTATGTATTTTGTTAAAACAATATTTTTATAAAAATATTATAATATTTATAAAACTTTCAATTAATTTCATATTGTGAGGGCCAAGTGTACAGCTACGATGTCATATACTTATATTAGTGTAGTGGGATTTTGGTAACCGTCAGATTGGTTTCAATCCGGACCACTCGCTCTTATATATAAATTAAGGTTTTTGGGCTAATTGATATGCACATTTTCTGTATTCTTTTTCTATATTCCATACATTCACATTGGTGGAGGTGAGGGGCACCTTTAATTGTCCCTAAAGAGTGCTTGGATTTAGGATTTTGGTTTAGATCTAACTTTTGCATCATCTAGATTTAGTTTGTTTTTATTTCCTTTCTTTTATTCTTTCTTTTTAGGATTTTGGTTTAGATTTAGCTTTTTGCATTGTTTAAGTTTACCATTTCCTTCTAGCTTTTTGTCATTTCTCTTTTTTTTGCTCTTTCTTCATTTGTCTTCATGGCAAATCAACAATCTCCTCTTTTGACTTTGGAGCAACAGTTGGTATAATTGCTTGATGCTATGTGCTTGCAATTGAACAACCAAACTTAATTGATAGTGGCATTCACGGCACGGGGTACAACTTTTCCTGCTCTTGGCACCAATCCTCACGTTCGGCTGGAGTTCTTTCGTGGGAATCTTAGGGATGATGTGTACTATTGGTTCGATCATTTCACGGTGATTGCCATATATCATTCTTGGGATGATACTTGACGTTTGCGTGAGTTTCCCACGTGTCTTTAAGGGCGGCATTGTAGTGGTATAATGGTTTGAGCGCAACCACTCGTGGGGATTGGAGTGTTCTTCTGGATGTCTTCAAATGCACTTTCAAACATGCTGACAACTGTGATGATGCCTTCCAACAATTGCATTGTCTTCGCCAAGGGCCATCTGAGTCGATGATGCAATTTAGCATTCGTTTCTGAAGTCTTTTTCTTCGTGCGAAGCCAGATATGTCGGAGCGGATCAAGTTAGGAATGTTGTAGCTAGCACTTCGTCAAGATCTTGTTAAACTTGTGTATACATTTGCTCCCGCCACCCTTGACAATGCTCTTTGCTTGGCACAACATTATGAGATGTCACCTCTTCCACTTCTTGTTGCATGTCCTTCAGCTCCACTTCCTATGGGTGATGGTCTTGTTCCAATAGAGGCTGATGCTGTTGCTACTGCTCGAGTCCAAGGACAAGGGCAAGGACGTGGTTGTGGCCATAATGTTCGCTGCTAAGCATGTGATGAAGTTAGTCATACTTATTAATATTGTCGGCATTTTCCGGATTAGTGACTTCCATTTCCTGGCTGGAGACTTTGGCGTCAGCAATGTCCCGTTGGTGCTGCTACAGTGGAAGGTTTGAACACCGAGATGCTTTCGGGAAATGAGGAGTCGTGCGAGTAACGGAGGGACTTTGCGTAAATAAGTCAATGACCCTTCCATCTTTCTTTCAGGAGTATCATCAAAGGGTTCACTCAGCATCAGTTCATTCAGTGTTTACTTTCCAAGCTCGTTTTTATAACAAGAGGTCTTCTATTATTCTCTCTATATTGGTTGATACAGGTTCAAGTTTATCTTCTATTGCTCGACCTATTGCCACACATTGCCATCTACACTTGCGTCGTGTGGCAGAACCAGTTTTCATTCTTTATGGCAATGGCCGTACATATGCATGTGCATGGGATGAGGCAGACCTGGTTGTGTGTGTGAGTGATCTCGAACTTGAGTTGCAGTCATTGCGGGTGGTGTCAAGTCAAGCTTTTAACCTCATTCTTGGTATAGATTGGTTGCAGCGCAATCATACTAAATGTGACTTTGAGGCTTCTCCCCTTTGTCTCATACTTCTTTATATTTCATCCATTCCTTTCACTTTCATACCTTTTCATCCCTCTACTTCTACCTCTACTGGCATTATTTTTGTTCCCCCACTATTTCCTCCTATATTTCCATTTTGTTCTACTCTTCCCTTTTCTAATCCTTCCGACAATCTTTGTGTTGCAGTGGTTGATCGGCTCATGAAGGAGTATTTTGATCTCTTTGAATTTGACCTATCGTCCAGGGCCAAGATTGCCACATGCTATCCAATTCCAACCGGGGATGCTCATCCAATCAAGGTTCCTATTCGTCGTCGTTCACTCAAGGAGATCAAGATTTTACGTGCAAACGTCAAGGAGATGTTAGAGAAAAGTGTTATTTGGAAGTCGCGGAGTCCTTGGGTATGTGAACCTCATCTTGTGACGAAGCCTTATGGGAGTATTCATTTCTGCATCGACTATCGTCCATTAAACGAAGTGACGATCCCATATGTGTACCCTCTTCCTCACACTGCTGATCTTTTGGATCGTCTGGGGCGAAGTCGTTAGTTCACCAAACTAGATCTTGCTTCTGGGTATTAGCAAGTACCAATGGCCAAAAAATATATTCTTAAGACTACTTTTCGTACATGTACAAGTTCTTGGTGATGCCATTTAGTTTGAACAATACTCTAGCAATTTTTTAGTGGATGATGGATAAGGTTCTTTGCGATATGTCAGAGGTGACTATTGACTTTATTGATGATGTTTTGATCCACTCGGAGGGGACATGGGAGAAGCACATTTATAATGTTTGTAAAGTCCCTTGGTGGCTGCTGAAAGAAACCCGACTTTGGATCAGCTTAGCTTGAGACAGGCTCCTGGAAGAAGTTATCAATGCGATCATTCTTGCAGGCTTGGCACTGCTGAGTCCAAGGAAGACATTCATACATGAAAACTTCACCAGGAGTTTGATCCCACTAGAATTACAACTTGCATAGCCATGGAAACAAAAAGAGGAGAATCACTTATCATGTAAATCTGATAAATTAAAAAACGTCCATCATGTGAATGATATTGACAGAAGCTATGCCATTTCTTGCTATAAATTGATCCTCACACATCTTAGTTGTGGATTCCTTTTTGTAACATCCAAGCTCGTGGAATGGAGGCATAACCACATCAAAGAAAGATAACTTCCTTGAAATCAGTTGCATATCAAACAATTCATACCAAAATGGTCCACATTCTAGAAGACACAATAAAACTCTCTACATGTCCTGAATAAGATTCAAGTTGGTTTGAGCTGAACACCAGGCGCTATAGGCCAATCTTGACACCGCTCCAAATTGTCAAGCTTGACATCTCCACAATCGCAGTTAGACTCCCCAAACGAAACGAAGCAAGGATCCAATAGTTCTTGCCTTGGAGCAAACATCCCCACCTGAGTCACGCCCAGCCCACATAAGCCAAGGCCTCAACCCGACTAATCCCTGACCAATGTAGCCGAAAGTGGTGCCAGGACTCGTGATCAGCAACCCCAGAAAATAAATCTCTGCGAGAGCTTTCTCGAGAAATCTGGTGTGCTGCTGCCCCTCGTGGCTTGGCTGCTCCACTCTCACGATCGATCCATCGGCGGTGGAGGAGTTGAGGTAGATCTCCCGCAGCACGTCAAAGTGGTGCTCGTCCAGCGAAGTCACTGATCTGCTGCTGCTGCGAGCTGATCGAGGAGCGCAGCATGATCCTCTAGTTGTTCTTGCTGATATTGGGGAGGATCTTCGTCTCCACTGCGCACTGGAACACCTCCGCCGCCAGGTTTTGACGAACTCCTTGCAAGTGGAGAGACTACGCGATCGGCGAGCGCGAGATATGAGTCGTGCGCTGTGCGATCCCACAACGGATCGATGAGATGAAAGAGATAGCGGCTCAAGTGATGGAAGATCGCCTGCTGCGCTTCGCGAGATCACTCCGGAAGGACCAAAAACAATCCCGGAACAAAGTAGACATTTGACCGGAGAAACAGCCAAGTTACCTGCGATTGCAAGAGTTTTTGCTGCTCCTTGCAGAAGAATTTTCGATCGTCCGGAGTGTAGTCCACGGACAGATAACTTGATCGAGCTCGCGAAATCGTGACAGTGCTTAGAAGTGATTTTTAGATCCGGGCGCGATGAATCGTTGACTGTGAATAATCGGCTCTCCAGGGATCTGGGGAGGAGCCAGGAACTCTTTGGGAATGGCTCGCAAAACAATCGATCCATGTTCTCTGCGGACGAATCTAGAAAAACTCTGTTCATGAGCAGAGCATAGAGAAAAGTGGAAGCAATCTTGTTCCCCAGGCCCTGCGATCCAAATGGCGCGATCCCGAATTGGCAGTCGCCGTGATCGCCGTCTGGGTTATCTTGGATCAATCGAGAGCACCGGGCGTGGATTTGCTCGTAGGATGAGAGCTGGCGATGGCGAGTCTGTGGATTTGCGGTGATAGGACTGGAACTCTAGCCGGCTCCCGCACTGCGAGCATCGCCTTACTCTGGAACGATAAGATCTTCCATGGCCTTGTCCGGGAAGTGATTCTGAGAGAGCAAAACGTAGAGGAAGAACAAACTAGTGGTGTGTGAAAGAGGAGTAACTTGGTGAAGAGGATGCTAGACAAGGACAAAGGTCTTGTGCAAGAAGCCATGAGATATGGATGGAATGTGAGGGATGCGATGAGAAAGGTGGTGGATTAGAGGATTGAGTGGTAGATTAGATTAAAGTTTATTTAGAGGGAGCCAAGCATTAGGGAGGTAAACTGCATTAGATTATGTTGGAAAAGTGGGAGATGGAGCATCTCCAAGGACTCAAAGACAGGCTTGTGTGAAATGAGTCTTGGGGGTGATCGCATCGACCCACGAGAGGATAGTCGCAAAAATGGGCTCCTTGATGTGATCCTTGGCAACACAATCGTCAGCACGTGATCTTATGGGGGAGGTGTACTGTGACTTGGAACAAAACGACTGCAATCTTATACTTTAAATATATAGTAAAGGGTTTAAAGATGTATATTATTAATCATCAATTAGGGAATTTAAAAAAACAAGTGTTGTAAAATGCCCAGTAAGGGCATTGATTGTCATACACAAAGGCTGTAGATATTTGGGGGCTTGGAGTGATCGCATACGAGCTTCTCAAAGGCTACAAGTGATCGAACCTGGAGTTCCAGTGGCTTGTCAATCTGTCGCCAGAGGCGAGAAATCTTATTATGGGCATGCTTGTTTTGGATCCAAGGAAAAGATTGACACTGGATCAAGTGATCAATCATCCTTAAATTCTAGAGAACTGTAGCACCACACAATCTACTGCCAATATCACAAGTTGTTGTGGATTGTCTTAATTTTTGTTGTAGCTCGGCTGCAACAACCACTCCTTGCTTCTCTCTGTGCTTGGCAATGGTGTAGCTTGTCATCATGCCCAGTCCTTCGAAAGCAGCCTGAATTATTACCATGGGATTGATCAGAAGGAAACAAAAAAAGCCAGCCATCAAACACCTTAAGAACTGTATCGGGGTTGTACAGCCTCGGGGTTGCATCGTGCAAAATTCTGAGAGCTTCACCAACATTTCTGGCACATAGAAGGTGATCTTCTCGCGTCTGCAGTTCAAAAGCGTCTTTAAGTTTAAATGCTTTTTCCTGATTACCTGAAACAATGATAGTGCCACTGTAAAGATGATGCTTGCTCCCTCATTGAAAAGAACGTCCCAAATTCTCATTGTCGTCTGCAAACACGATTTGATTTTCTTCTCTTTGAAGAAGCGGACAAAACTTACCTCAGAAGGCAAACTCTTGGAGAACAAGCAAAGAAACCACTCGGTGGTGACTAGCGACACGTCAAATCCAATATCATGGAAGTGGGCAGCCAGCCTGAAACAGATCCAAATCGATCTCTTGTAAAGACGAAAATGTTTCTTACCTCGGACTTCTCTGCCTCATGAGGTCCTTGAAAACTCTTTGCTCGATATGACAACCATAGAGATTGTCTGAGTAAGTATCGCTGTGGAGAACGTCCTCCAGCAACACAGCAAGCATCCAAAAGGCGTCCTCTTCCGACCTCATCACTAGAAGAAGAAGCGCTGTGATGAAATTCATTCCCTATCACCACAAAACTTTAGCTATGAACTGGACAATGTGATGACAATGAAGTTCTCTTACCTGGCAGTATCCGACTCGAGAGTCACGAAACGAGTAAGCAACAAGAATTCTTCTCAGCGATTGCTGCCCTTCTTTGGAATCCAACCATGGATGTGTCGGAAAAGTTCGAGGGAGATCCTGGAAAAAAACTACAATGAGTTGTCAATCGAGAAACTATAGCTTACCTGATCGATTTGCCTAGTCGCCGGAGTGACTCTATTCTCGACGGCTTCGATGAGATCGTTGTAGTAACTCCTGGGAGCTGTGGAGCGCTTCTTTGCAGCGCCGGAAGAAGCCAGCCACACCTTTGGACGAAGAGCTGGAGGAATTCCCTTTCGGATCATCCCTTTGAGCTGCTTGGACTTGGCATAAGCGGCAAAGGTGTCCAGGAATGGAGTATTTCTCGCGAATCTATCTACATACCAGTCCTCTCCCTTGCTTGCCTCGATCGACAACCATTGCCGGTGCTGCTCCTTCACCCTCTTCTTTAGATCGTTGAGAAGAGCGGCGTCTTCCAGCGGCACCTCCAGTGGAAACGCGTACAGATCGAGAATGGCTACTTTCCTAGTCATCCACACCATTCTAGAGCTCCCCATGACCGATATTTCCAGCTCGCTACCGCAAGAACACCCGGATTTCTCCCTGATCCATCACAGTCATAGCATTCCCCTGAAATCTTTCCCTGAGATGTGATCGATCGATCGCGCCACAAACCTGGACCCTGGATCAGATGAATCTCTCGATCGCCGCCGATACACGACCCGGCAAAGACAACAGTGGCTGCGCAACACGCTCGCGCCCATTGCCCAGTCCATTTTAGGGCTCCTACACATGGCACGTTCCGCCTTTAGCTCTGGGACCGTCGGATCGCAGCATCATCCAACGGTGCAGTTCAAACTCTTGCATGCGTTGAAAAGATACTAAAGGGAGTAGCAATCCTTTTAGGAATCGTTATATATAACAGTAAAGATTGCCCTAAGGGTTTTAGCGTTAATTTGTGGCTCTTGAGCTTCTTCGTATTTTAGCTTCTTCGAGATGGGATTTGAGGCAGCCATTGTTTCTAATGATCGCTCAGAAACTAACCATGGTTGTGGGAGAAATTGCTTGGGACCATGTTGCTTTCCTGGTAAGTTTTTTATTTCTTCTATGTTTTTTGCTAATGGTTAACCCTTTTATTTTTTCGATTGTAGGAGCGCGAGTGCCTCTTTACTTGTATGGTGAGGCACAGTGTATGGATACCAAGGGAGAAACTATAGACTTCCTACACTCATTTATTCTTGCTCCGGTATGTTGTTCTCTTAGATTAGTATGTATAACTTTCTAACTCAATCTCTGGTCAGTGGATGGAGAAGCAAAAACTGGGACTCTTCCGCTACGATGTTACCTCATGCGAGACAAAGGTAGAAATTTTTTGTTATTCGCAAATAAAAGAATTAATATTTGATTGAATAGATTCTTTCGGGAGATTGTGGTTTTATTGCCCAACTCAACGAGGGCAGGCATTCAAAAAAGCGTCCCACTGAGTTTAAAATGGATCAAGTTTTGCAAGATTTTGATCCCAGTAAATTCAACTTTACTAAAGTTGGCCAAGAAGAAATTCTCTTCTCTTTTGATCCAGAAAATTCATCATTGGCAACTAGCTCAAATATGGTGATTATTAATGTGAGTGATTTAATTTCTTTCCTTTTTAATATATAATTATTAACAATTTTTTTAACAGGTGAGTCCAATAGAATTTGGACATATATTATTGATTCCAAGGTTACTTGATTGTCTCCCACAACGTTTAGAAGTAAACACATTTATTATAGCTCTTCAAATGGCTAAACAAGCAAATAATATATACTTTAGACTTGGATTTAATAGTTTGGGAGCATTTGCTACAATCAACCATCTCCATTTTCAGGTATGTGAAAGAATAATATTTTTATATTTATTACTGTAAGCTAATTTTTTCTTGATAATAGGCTTATTATTTGGAATATATATTTCCAGTAGAGAAGGCATCGAAAAAGCTACTTGTTAATCATGTGAAGGGTTTTAATATTTACAAATTGGAAAATTATCCTGTGAAAGGCATTATTTATGAGCTTGGATCAAGTAATTTTCAAGAATTATCATATCAAATTGTTACAATATGCAATACTCTTGAAGAACAAAATATTCCATACAATGTTCTTATTGCTGATAAGGGATCACAAATTTACTTATTCCCACAGGTAACTCATGGTAGTTTTACATGGTTTCTAGTGATTTTTATTGCTAATTTATTTTTCTTCTAGTGTTTTGCCGAGAGACAAGTTCGTGGTGAAGTTGAGGCCGAAATTTTGGAAACACAAGTCAACCCTGCTGTTTGGGAGATAAGCGGTCACATAGTTCTCAAACGCAAGCAAGATTTCGAAAATGTCACCCAAGAATATGCATGGAAACTGCTTGCTGAAGTTTCACTAAACGATAAAGCCTTCAACAAAATCATAAACCTTGTAACAAATGATAAATATTACTCCAAAATGTAAACACCAATGTAAAATATATAAGAAAAATGATCCACAATTTTAAGATCACTTGAAGTTCTTTACAATCAAATGAGAAGACACTTTAAGATCACTACAATTAAATGAGAAAACACTCAGGTGGAGGTGATGGATATCGGAGAGCATCAGTGCAATAATCGTAAATCATGTAATTCTTCCTCACCCAGCCTAACTTTTCGGATCCAAGGTTGCCTTCCATTTTGGCAGAGCTAAAGGAGCTTGCAGAAGAACTTGGCAGAAATTTAGAGCACGAGGAATCATCGCCACCCTGACCCTGACCCTGAGAGACAACACAGGCATCGGCAATGAAGTTCCGGAAGGAAGCGATGAAGGGAGCGTGGTTCCAGTTGGTTTTCACGAGCCCACCTCGCGTAGCCCAATCTTCCCCACTCCACAGGCTAGAGCGCATCGTCATGGGATTCTTGGAGGGGTAAGGAATGCCATTCTCTTCATTGTTCTTGAAAACTCTCACGGGAGTCGAATCCACCAAAAACCTGAAACGGGATCGAATTGTAAGCCGGGATCCAGAGTCTGGAGAGAAGAACTAGCAGCTTACACTGT